ATCTCTATTGAGACCCTTAAAGAGGCTCCAGAACTTGTTCATGTACAGTAGACAGTTTCTGCTGTGTCTCCCTTGGGAGTACCGTATTTTTCCATGTATAAGACTATACTTTTGTCTAAACTCTTTAGACTAAAAATTGAGGGTTATCTTATACATGGAAATAAGCTGAGGAGAGAACAAAAACAAGTGAAGGGGAAAGCATGGATCAAAGTGATCCTGCAGTGCTTTGATCCCTTTCCTCCTACACTTGCTAAGCCCCACTTAGATTTCTTAATTTTGGATTAGAAAAGTCTTATACATGGAGGTGTCTTATACACGGAAAAAATGTGGTATGTATATCCCTTGGCCATGATACTTGGATTCATCCTCCTAGACTGGTTATACACTTACATGGCCATATGAAATGGAGGATAGGGCCCCTGTACTTTTAGCGGGCGTGTAGAAGAGGAACTTTCAGCAGATGTCCATCATGTAGGATTTCTAATCAGCATTGTTGTGCCACTTCACTGTGTTTATGTTTTCATAACAATCCATCTTCTCTCCCAAGCCAACTACACCAGAGCACAGAGTACTGTCCTCTGAAGATGCCGGCCACAGAGAGACTGGCGAAACATTAGGAAGAATACCCTTCAGAACACAGCCAAAGATCCCGAAAAACCCACAACAACCAATCCATCTTCTCTTATGTTTAGTATACATCAAATGCAATCTTCATTCCAGTGCAGATTGATAGTAATCTTCTCCATTTGCCCAACACCCACATGGACTCCCGATGGGAAGCTATGTCTCAGTGGCCCAGTCTCAATATCTTATACAGTTACATCAGCATCTCAGGATACTTCATTCCTTGTGAAATGCAGAGACCTGCAACCTGCACTTTTGACATGATTTTCAGCTGGTCTCTTCTTGTCAGATTCCAGCATTCCTCATGTTACAGCCCTGGATGTTTAAGGAAACTTCACCGCTTTCACTTTCCACACTAAAAGGTAGGTAAGAAACAATGAAGGATGCATCTAAGGTCCATTGTGTCACATTTAGAAGATGGTTTGAATTTTCTTCCATATCTAGTGTCATAATTTGCTTATAAGACTGAGGGACACAAATGGGGTAAAATCACTTCATTTTGGTACTGTTTTCAGTGGGATTACTCAAATATCTGCTTTTCGGGAAAAGACAGCTGATTTCACATTTGCTTTATCTGTTTGCTGCTTGGCACGTTTTGTTTTGACTGATCACCTCGACCATTTAATATCTTGAATTTTATTTTTATTTTTTTTTAAAATAAAATACTGATCACTTTGCAGTTACGTCTACACACTTTGCTTTTGTCCAGTTCTTTGCCATTTTGAGGCCTGGCTTAGGATGGAAATCCATGTGGTAGATAACTAGAACTTTTTAAAAAATATTCATATAGCCTCTGTGCCAGCGTCAGTTGATTCATTGATCTGGTGATCTTTTCTTCCACAGCTCACTGTTCTTTTTAACAGCCTGACTCTTCTGTCAGGGAACACACAGGTTAGCTTCTTCTGTCCCCACATTCTCACAACAGGCCTGTTGAGGTAATATGGGTCAAGAGATAGTGTCCAGAATCATGTTACTGACTGTTACCTTCGTAAGTCCAATAACATAAATACTAGCAGCGAAATGCTGTTAATTATGAAGTCAGTGTTGCCAATCTCTTGTGCCAGTTGGCATGTGGCAAAAAAATTCAAACCTTAACTTCATAAGTAATGACAATTTGCCCCTGAGACGCATCCTATTGAACTTAGTCTGGCATACATTACTAACAGTTTTGTGGCCAAAGCTTGGGTCAAGGTCCACCAGTTCAGCTTATGGCTAATTGGGGATTTGAACTCAGGTTTATCTGAGCCAACATTCTGAACCATTTCAGAAGGACAGGCTTTTAAATGATCCTTGAATACATGACTCTTTAGGCAGGTCTTCCCAGAATTTAAAGCTGAATAATGCAGCCACACTTTCTAGTGTTTACTTCATTCTGCCACCTTGCCTTTCAAATTCTTATTTATGCTTATTGATTTTATTTACTCTGTATGCTTATTATTTTAATTCTGATTTTGCCTTTGACTTTGTACAAATTATGTGTTATTGGTAATGGAATGTTGTATTTTTAGTTTTGATTTGTTTGATGATGTTTGATACTTTACGAGTACGTGTTGTTGTCCCATTCATTGTGAACCCCCCCCCCCAGAGTGGCCTTGTCATTGAACCATTAAATAAATAGACAGTAAAGAAAGCCAAGAGAGAAAAAAAAACTTCATTTGAAATGGGGTGCTGGAGGAAAGCTTTGTGGATAGCTTGAATTTGCTAGAGCTGAGCAGGGCTGTTGAAGATAAGACAATACAGAGGTCATTAGAGACAGGCACAAATTTTAAAAAGGAATCACTAAATCCATTTTTAAAAGGCTCGTTTGTCAATTTGTATTTATATGAATCAATGCCCCCAGCAAATCATGAATCAAGGAATTTTTAGTGACCCTAACCCATTTTGTGATTGTATAACTTGGATCTCTGAAGGTCGTTCTTCACCAGACTTAGCGGGATTGTAGAGGAGAGCCGGGGAAAGCTTCCCTGCCAATTTAGTGTCTGTCGGTATCGGCTCTGTGTGCATTTTAAAGTGTTTTAAAGTTTAAAAAATAAACTGACAAATCAATTCATATATGCATCTGGGGAAAAAAATAAATTTGTAATTCGTGATTCATCAACCTTGATGAATCACGAATCAAAACAAACCACCATTTTTCTGATTCTTGCCCATCTATAGTCACAACAAAACATGCTTCATTGCTCCTTCCCATTGATCTTGTTGTTGCTGTTTAGTCATTAAGTCATGTCCGGCTCTTTGTGACCCCATGGACCAGAGCACGCCAGGCCCTCCTGTCTTCCACTGCCTCCCAGGGTCAAATTCATGTTGGTTGCTTTGGTGATACTGTCCAGCCATCTCATCCTCTGTCGTCCCCTTCTCCTCTTGCCTGCCCTCTTTCGCAACATCAGGGTCTTTTCCAGGGAGTCTTCTCTTCTCATGAGATGGCCAAAGTATTGGAGCCTCACCTTCAGGATATGTCCTTTCAGTGAGCTCTCAGGGTGATCTTGTAGTATCCCCAAAATCCTAACCTATAGGGATTAAACTGTGGCCTTTTAAGCCAGTCTGACAAATCCATAACCTAACATAGACAACATATTCATCACCATCACCACCACCACCATCTTAGACCTGCAGTCCTGGAGGGATTATCAAGTCCAGCTCCCATCAAGGAAGCACGGTGGTGAATGAAACTCCCAACCTCTGGCTCCAAAGCCAGCCATCTAAACCAGTGGTTCTTAACCTTGGGTTACTCAGGTGTTTTTGAACTGCAACTCCCAGAAACCCCAGCCAGCACAGCTGGTGGTGAAGGCTTCTGGGAGTTGCAGTCCAAAAACACTTGAGTAACCCTAGGTTAAGAACCACTGATCTAAACCACTGAGCTATCCTGAAATTCATTCTTTATTTAACAATAGTGCCAATTTTCAGCAGGGATGCCTCAAACCATTCTGCTGCCTGAGGCAAAGATGCTGTCCTTATTTCATAGTCAGAAACGTATCTAGACTGGCAGTTGGATTTTATACTGGCACCAGCAAAAGGTCAGGGTTACTGAGGGGGATGGTGGCCAGATTTTGTGGCACATAGGTCTGCCTATGAGAAGAAGGAGATTTCCAAATAGAAGGACTTCTGCTGTCCCTCACAATCTGCTACCTCAGAGAGCTTCCTCATTCTTCCCATGGTATAGAAGCTATTGGAGATATTATAATAGAAATCTCTGTATGCTCCCATAAAAGCCTAGAAAAATTACCTTTGATTTCACAATCCCTTCAGACAGTATGGCCATTAAACATCACTTATTTACTTGGCTGGTTGCATTTTATTTATACAACAGAAACATTGATCTGCATTCTCGAAGGCTTTCACGGCCGGGATCTGATGGTTGTTGTGGGTTTTTCGAGTTCTTTGGCCATGTTCTGAAAGTTGTTCTTCCTGACGTTTCTCCAGTCTCTCTTTCGTTCTTTGCTGACTGTAACATTTTGAAAAACACAACCCACAAACAGTATTCAGACCCACCACAAAAATACAACAAATGTTACGGCCAGCAAAAAGGGACCCCCTCACCACTGCAGGAGTATACCGGATACCTTGCAGTTGTGGCCAGGTATATATTGGAACCACAAAATGCAGCATTCACACCAAAATCGAAGAACATGAGAGACACTGCAGACTAAAACAACCGGAAAAATCCACAGTAGCTGAACATGCCCTAAAACAAGCTGGACATGAAATCCTATTTCAAAATACTGAAATGCTGGACAACACCAGCAATCATTACGTTAGACTGCACAGGGAAGCCATTGAAATCCATAAACATAAACAGAACTTCAACAAAAAGGGAGGTTGGTTGGTTGGTTGGTTGGTTGGTTGGTTGGTTGGTTGGTTGGTTGGTTGGTTGGTTGGTTGGTTGGTTGGTTGGTTGGTTGGTTGGTTGGTTGGTTGGTTGGTTGGTTGGTTGGTTGGTTGGTTGGTTGGTTGGTTGGTTGGTTGGTTAATATTAAAAAAAATAAAACAGCAGCCTCATTTTTAGCAACCTTCTCTTAGGCAGCCAGTTACAGAGACAACCCCTGCCTGAAAAGAACGGTCTTTGCCTGCTTGCTGGAAGCCAGCAAAGATTAGGCCAACCTGGCCTCAGGTGGGAAGGAGTTCCACAGCTTGGAAGCAGTGAGAGAGAAGGCTCTCTCTTGTTTCTCCCTCATCCAAAGCCTCTGTGAGGACGGCAACACCAAGAGAACGGGCCTGCCCCTGGTGATTTAAAAAGCCAGGCAGGCTCATAAAGGGAGATGCCATGTTTCAAGTAGCGCTGACCTCATTTTACATGCACATTTCTTACATAGATACGAGTATACAATGAATGAAAAGTCATAATTGTCCCTCTTTTCTGTCTCTTTTTCACTACGTAGATGGAAAATAGCAGGATCGGAACCAGGGGAACTGATTTCATTCCGGTTGGTTCTCCACAAATAGCCCGGATAGAGGGCGAGAACGGGACCGTAGTGACCCACTTCATCTTGATGGGCCTTCCACACAAACCAGAGATGGACATTCCACTTTTCTCGCTGTTTTTGACCATTTACCTCTTTACCTTAATGGGGAACGCTCTGATCTTGGTGACCATCTGGGTTGACCCAAACCTACACAAACCCATGTACTTCTTCCTAGCGAACCTCTCCTTCCTCGATTTCTGGTTCTCTTCTGTTACTCTTCCTAAGATGCTCCAGGGCTTCCTTGAACCTGGTGGCACCTTTATTTCCTTTACGGGCTGCGTCATTCAGCTGTATTTCTCCCAACTCCTGGGAAGCACAGAATGCTTCCTCTACACGGTCATGTCTTATGACCGCTACTTGGCCATCTGCCACCCTCTCCACTATGGATCCATCATGGACAGCATAACGTCAGTCCGCCTGGCAACTCTCACGTGGATTATGGGTTTTCTCCATACCCTTCTGCATACTGCTTTGACCTTCCACCTGACCTACTGTGGACCTATGAAGATTGACCATTTCTTCTGCGACCCAACACCACTGTTGGAGTTAGCATGTGGGGACACCTCCATCAATCAAACCATGATCTTTTTCGGCATTGGGACTGTAGCCTTCCTGTGTCTCCTCCTCATTCTGCTGTCCTATGGAAGCATCCTAGGGGTCATTTTGAAGCTTGGCCATGGAGAAGGCAAGTACCACGCTTTTTCTACTTGCGCATCCCACTTCACAGCCGTGGCTTGCTTCTACGTCCCTTGCGTCTTCACATATATGCGTCCCCACTCCAAAGGCACCTTCAACAGGATTGCAACGGTTTTTTATACAGTCCTCACCCCTCTCCTGAATCCACTAATCTATACTTTAAGGAACAGAGAGATGAAAGCCGCTCTCTACAGATTATGGCAGAAGACAACGTTTGCACCGGCAAAATAAACACCCATCGTCAGGTGTAAAAAAAAATCAGAGGAAGTAAAGATCTGTGGACTTGTCTCTACCCTGGCTTAAGCTGGAAATTCTCTTTTCCCACGGGTTTCTGCTTGGAATTGGTTAGATGTTCTGATTTTCTTTTCCTCTTGATTTCTATGATACAGTGGTACCTCGCTAGACGACAACCTCGTAAAATGATGAATCTCCATGACAATGAGGTTTTGCAATCGCTATAGCGATTTGCAAAACAGTCATTCCAATGGGGGATTCTCGCTGGATGATGATTTGGTCCGTGCTTCGCGGACCGTTTGTTCCCAATGGGGAAATGGATTTTGCATGACAATGTTTTCACTAAACAGTGATTTCTATGGAACGGATTATCATCGTCATGCGGGGCACCACTGTATCCCTCTTCAAACAGAGTATAGGCACCATGAGGAAAGTGTGTTATGAATGCAGTTCCTGTTGTAGGCTCGCACCTGCCTGCCCAGGAACAGGGGCCAAATCTACATACTCTGCAACCTGAGAGACTTTCTTATGGGTTCCCCAAAACCTTCCATCTGGGGTATAAATTAAAGAGCAAGCCCTGCTATGGTTTGTGAAAGTGTGAATTGTGCACCGTTTTTAAACTACAGAAGGGCATGTGTCATGTGCAGCAACATGAGACGCTGTGAACACCATGTGGTTTTTTCCAGAGACTTGGCCCAGAAGTCTGTTCACAACAACAATCATGACAGAAAGTGACCTTCCACTCTTCTTGTTGTCATGGTTCCAAGTTATTTCAGCCTCTCCTTTATCTCCTGTGCAGAAGATTTCGATAAAACATCAGTACTTTTTCTTCCAGTCCAATTCCTGCCTCAACCTGAGTGGGACGTCGCCTGTAATGCGAAAAGAAATCACAAAACAACCGTAGATTAGGCTTCATAACACCTTATAAAATAGATTCTCTCAGCATATTTGTTGTTCATCCTCACTTAACAGAGAGAGGCGTGGTCTGTGAAGGAGAATTTACAGCTAGGAGACCTGATCCTCCCCTCTTAAGAATACTTCCTTCTTACCGTCTCCTTTAAGGATTTCCTTATGATTATTTTACAATATTTGGTGGGGTGTATCATCATTCCCGTGATGCCTCTCTTTCTGCTAAGCTCAAATGCTTTTCTCTTCCCTAAAAGTACTTTCAGACCTGAACCATGGAGAATTCAGTGTGTGGTGTTGTTTTTAATCAAAACACTCTTTTTCAAAGCAGAGATGGTGGTTTCTCAGTTGTCCGTTTCATGGGGTTAAGAATTTAGACAAACCGCATCTCTGGAAAAGGATGGGCGAACAATGCAGATAGATACAGTCTGCCCTGGTCTTTTGGCAGGGCTCTCTTGGGTGAGTCATCTCGGAAAGATGAACCAGAACCCCTGGGATTGACAAGGGGGAAAGAATAGCTAGATTTGCAGAACTTCGACCCTTGAGGACCCAGAAAGTTGGATTCCCACAAAAAGGGAAGCCTGTGGCCAAGCACTTTCCAGCCTATGAGAACCCAGCAGAATAGAGGGACAAGCCTAGTGAGAAGATTTCAGGAGAAATCCTTGGCTACAAGGAAGGACTCCATTGGAGAAGAGGGCCTTCAAAGTTAGGGGTCTCCTTCTAAAAATCTCTTGCCCCCAGCACACTAGTGGGCTGAATCCTGCAGATGAGTTCTTTTTCCCCAGCTAGCAAAGCACCTGCTATTGAGCTGTTGGTAAGGTACCAACAGATCATTTGCACAAACCTTAGGCCAATATTTAGATGTCTCGTCTCGCATCAGACCTTGTTTCAGAATAAAGCACTGGGTTCTTATCGTTGTGATGGTTCCTCAAAAACAGAAGTAGTCAAACACACGTGTTTAACCACATTAACAGTCTTAAACAGATACAGTGGTGCCTCGCAAGACGAATGCTTTGCGGGACAAAAAAACCCGCAAGACAATTGTCTTTTGCGATCGCTGCGGTGGCTCTCACGATGGTTTCTTCTATGGCCATGCTTCGCAAGATGGGTTTTTCCCCCGAGACCGATGCCTCGCAAGACGAATAAATTTCATTCATCTTGTGAGGTTCCCTATGGGAACTTCGCAAGATGATTTTTTAACAAGACAGCGCTTCTCGCAGAACAAATTACAGTGGTGCCCCACATAGCGAGGTTAATCCGTTCCAGATTAACCTTCGCTATGGTGAAACATCGCTGAACGGGTCAAGAAAACCCATTGGAACGCATTAAACATCGTTTAATGCGTTCCAAATGGGCCCAAAACTCACCGTTCTGCGATGTTTCCCCATGTTCCGGCGGCCATTTTGGGTGTTCCAGCGGCCATTTTGGGTGTTCCAGTGGCCATTTTGGGTGGTTCTGGTGGCCATTTTGGGTGTTCCAGCAGCCATTTTGGGTGGTTCTGGAGGCCATTTTGGGTGTTCCGGCAGCCATTTTGGGTGTTCCAGTGGCCATTTTGAGTGTTCCAGTGGCCATTTTGGAACCGCCGAACAGCTGTTCCCCCTCGCAATGCGAGGAAACATCGGTATGCAGTCGCATTAGCGATTGCAAAATCCGCATCGGTATGCGGATTCATCGTTAAACGGTGCACTCATTATGCGAGGCACCACTGTACATTCGTCTTGCGAGGCACCACTGTAGCTGAATTTTAAGTCCAGCTTGACATCAGAGTTCAGTAATAATGTCAATTATATGCAACATGGAGGTCCCTCAATTCATGTGTTTGGTCATTCCACACAACTAGCAATGATTACACATGAAAACACTCACAAGGAAACTGCCTTTGTTAATTTTTTTTGACAAGCTTGTCTTCCCACATTTTAAACTGAACACCCAAGTATAAGCTATCAAACAGTTATACTTTGTCTCGTAAAGAATCTAACAATTACAGCTCTCAAAAAAGTACAATCGGGGCCAGCCCTACCACAAGCCAGAGTGAGGAAACTGCCACTACCAGCAGGTGCTGGAGGGATCCCAAGATATTGGCTTGCAGTGTTTCGTATCCTGTTCAACCTCCTCCATTCATTCATTCATTCATTCATTCATTCATTCATTCATTCATTCATTCATTCATTCATTCATTTTTACCCTACCTTTCTCCTTAAGAAAGACCCAAGGCAGCTTACATCATTAAAAGACAGTATTTAAAGCTAAAATCTGTAACTATACAAATACTCGGAAGGGTCAAATGCCACACTACAACACAGTAAACATAAACAACACCAAAACACATCCAAAGCAGTAATGCACAACAATCAGTTTAACAACCCTACTCAGGCTTGCCTGAAGAGAAAGGTCTTTGCCTGCTTGCAGAAAGACGGCAAAGAGGGGGCCAGGCTGGCCTCCAGTGGGAGGGAGTTCCAAAGTCTGGGAGCCACCACAGAGAAGGTCTCTCTCCCGTGTTCCCACCAAGCGCACCTGTGAGTGGTGGGACTGAGAGTGTTAAGATCATCCCCTGATGTTCTTAATGCCTGAGCAGGCTTATAGAGGGAGAGGCAGTTCTTGAAATAGCTTGGACCCAAGCCATTTAGGGCTTTACAGGTTAGAACCAGCGCTCCGAATTGTGCTTGGAAATGGATCAGCAACTGGTGGAGCTGCTGTAACAGGGATGTTATGTTAATGGAGGTGAGGGTCACAGAGCTAGAGAATCCGCTCCAGGTTTTAGTCTGGACTTTACAGGATTCTATCCAAGATGTTGAACTCCTTTAGGGATGGATGCAGCACCTTGGAGAGCACCTGTAAAATCCACCCACTCCTACCTCAGATGCAGTGGGAAGGTGTGATCCCACTACCGGTCAACAGCCAGTATGGATAGCTTGTGCACATTACATCTCGTCCTTGGCAATAAAATCTCTGGCTGGTGCAACCTAATTAAGGATGGTGTCCTACGACTCTAGGTTCCCACCTCATAGGAAGATGCTTGATTGAGTGAAGGTCTCTGCTCATCAGACCTGGTCTACATGCTATTGGTTCTCAACCTTAGGTCCACAGAAATTGCTTGATCACCTATCACATCATCTTTACCAGGGACGGTGGAAGCTGTAGACCAACAAGATCTCAGGAGCCAAGGTCAGGAAACATTGGCCTTGTAGGTCTGAAATGACTCTTTGAGCTAAAAGTAAGTCTAGGTCTACTGGGAGAAGATGACCACTCTGTACTAATTTGCTATGTTACGCTGTATGGTTTTTTATAAAAATCATAGAATCGTGGAGTTGGAAGGGGCCTATAAGCCCATCAAATCCAACTACCTGCTCAAAGCAGGAATCTAAATCAAAGTATATCTGACAAACAGGGTCGTCCAATTGTCTCTTGAACGCCTTGATGTCATCAGTTCTATCATCGTACTGCTCTAACAGTTAAGATGTTTTTCCTGATATTCAGCTGAAATCTGGCTTCCTGTAACTAGAGCCCGTTATTGTTAGGGTTGCCAGATACACGGGTGCTAAAAGGAGGACATAGAAAGACAAAAAGGAGGACAAAGGAGGACATATTGAATGTTTCATTTGAATCGTTCCAGATTAAGGCGAGCAGGGGGGGGTGGGGAAAGCCAGGGGGAAGGGGGTCCTTCCACCTCTCCCCCTCCCATCAAAAATTATAACATAAAATATACAAAAGCCTGACATGTTAAAGATTTTTATCTTTGCCTGCCTGACGGAGGACATTAGGCTAAAAAGGAAGACATGTCCTCCTTTTGCCTGACATCTGGCAACCCTAGTTATTGTGTGCCCTGCACTCTGGAATAAAGAAGAACAGAATCCTGCCCCTCCTGTGTATGACAGCATATCAAGTATTTGGAAAGTGCTATTTTATCTCCCCTCAGTCTTCTTTTCTAAACATGCCCAGTTCTTTCAGCTTTTCTTCACAGGGGTTGGTTTCCAGTCCCCCCGATCATCTTTGCTTCTGGGAATTGTAGTCCAAGAATATCTGGGGACTCAAGATTGTGAACCCCTATTCTGGGAGAATCAGCCATTTGCAGGATCCATTTCCTTGTGAAGAAAAAGATACAGGTAGAAGT